ATCAGTTGACTCCTGCATACCCCTTGTTGGGGATGGAGCCCACAACCTGGGCATGTGGCCTGACTAGGAATCAAGCCATGATCTCCTGGTTTATGGGTCAACACTTAACCATTGCCCACACTGGCTGGGCCTCACTTTTATTTTGTGAATATTTATTGGATGCTTGGTATATGCTAGGAAAACAAATGTGAATATGACATTGAATATTTCTGATTAGTGGGGAGAGAAAAACAAATATGTAAACAACTAATTAGTATAGCACATGGTGGGCACTGTCAGAGAGTTTATGTGTCCAGGAATACAGAGGAACAGAAGTTTCTATCTCTTTCTTTAAAAAAATATGTTTTATTGATTTTTTTTTTTACAGAGAGGAAGGGAGAGGGATAGAGAGTTAGAAACTCGATGAGAGAAACATCGATCAGCTGCCTCCTGCATACCTTCTACTGGGGATGTGCCCACAACCAAGGTACATGCCCTTGACCGGAATCGAACCTGGGACCCTTCAGTCCATAGGCCAACCGTCTATCCACTGACCCAAACCGGTTAGGGCAAGTTTCTATCTCTTTATCCAGATTTTGACTATACAAAAGCCTGTTTTAAATTTTTTTTTTTACTTTTATGGTTTACTTTCATATCTCTGGAGAGGAAGAAAACTTGTTACAAATATAGTAAATATAAATGATTTAATTAGAATGAAAACTCAATGCAGTTTTTCAAATATGTATATAGTGTAATGAAGACTTGAAAGCAAATTATTAAAGGACTTTTGTCCTTGTGATTGCAGTATGACTGATTGAAGAGAAGTCAAAGGTTGATGGTCATGAAAACTCATTAGTTTCTTTGTATATTTAATTTCTAATAATAATTGAAAGGGACAAAAGTGAAACAGTAGCACTGTGCATGCTGTCATTAGCCATAGCAAAAACATCCTAATGTACTCTTTTTCAGTAATCTAAACTAAATTCCAGCAAAAGATGTGGTCTACCTACTCTTCTAGAAGGCAGTCGTGGAGCTTAACAATTTGGGTTTGGTTGTAACTTCTGGTTACTAACTGCAACCTGAGATCTTAACAACACTTGCGTTATCAATAGTAAATTGGGGATAATAATATGCAATTTTTAGGGTTGCCAAACCCAATAGCAACTGCTTTATGTTCATCTTATTCTCAGAACAGCATTTGCTGCTGTTGATTACTTCTCAGGACATTCTTCCTTAGCTCCTGAGACCCCCAAACTTTATTTCTTTTCTTCAACCTTCTACTCCTTTCATTTGCGTTTCTTGGCTGTTCTTTTTCTATCTGATTTCTAAACGTTGGGTGCCTGAGGACCTTTTATTTCTCTACTCCATTCCAAGGTGTCCCATTAGTCCCATGGTTGTAAATATATCATGTATATGCTGATGTGTTCTTTTGTCTCCAGTCCTGACCTGTTCAGCTCTGAATTTATGTGATTAAATCCAGATAGTCACGTATTGCTTGTTCCTAGATATTGCTTGTTCCTGCAACACATTCCTAACTGGATCTCTGGGTCTTCCCACCAAAACAAGCAAACAAAGAAACCCTTTCTCTTTCCGACCTCTCTCTATCTTGGGTAAATAGCCTTAAATCTATGACTCATACTTGATTCTTTTTTCTCCTCCACTCCATATATCCAAGCCAGCAGTATGTATATTGAATCACTTTATTTCTGTCTGTCTTCTCTCTCACCATCTTAGTCCAAACCATCATCTCTTACTGTGTTCACAGGGCTTCTGACTTGTTTTCTTCCTGTCTACTCTATACATAGCTACCAGCGTCATTTTTCTATAAAGCAAAAATCAACTCATGTCATGTCTATGATTAAGATCCTTTGGTGGCTTCCTATGGCACTTAAAATAAAATCGAATCTCCTTTGCATGGCTTATATACCTGGGCTTAGTTTCCATAACTAGGAAATTGGGAATCTGACTTGCACTAGAATGTAAGCTCCAAGGAGGCACAGATGTTTATCTGCGTTGCTCACTGTTATTTTCCTAGTGCCTAGAACAGTGTGCACATACACAGTGAACACTTAATAAATACTTGTTGAATGAATAAACACGTTTAAGTGATATGGCCCCCCCAAAGCCTTTCTTCTTCCCTATTTCAGATCAGCATATTAAAGCTTAGTATTTTCTGCATGTATAGAAAAGTCCAACAGAGGCTTCTGGTGAAGTATCTCCTTGATGTTCCTTCATTGCTTTGTAATCATATAACTCGCCCTCTCCCCCATTTTCTTCCCTGTTTTATTCTTCAGATCTGAGGATATGTTTAGAGATACTTAGGATACTTAGGAGATGATAGGTAAGTAGGTCAAGAAAAAGAATAGAAATTGAAAAGGAACTCTGAGAATAGTAGCAATAGCATTTAAAAATAAGCATTTTACTGTAGAAATCTTGGACTATATACAAAAATGATAGAATAGTATAATGAATCTTCATCTTGTCATCACCCAGTTAAAACAGTTACTAACTCATGGCCATTCTTTGAGCAACTAGCATTTAATTTGGAAATTGCCTATGCCTGGTTTATAGAGGTTTGTATCTTATCCAGGGCTTGTTATTATTTTGTAAACCAACAGAACAGATTAGGTCTGATTTTAAGCATATTGGAAGAGTTCTGACCTATCTTCTCTGATGTATTTTTTGTGAACGCCTGAAATTTCTCCATTAATTCAACTGTCAATTTGAAAATTGTGAATAAGCCTGAGAAGGGAAATGCAGGAAGCCCATTAACGGTTATTTATATCTTAGTGTAAATTGGTTAATTAGAAGCCTGTTGACTGGTAAGTAACCAAAAACAGGCTTTGATGGAAGGTATACTGTCATAGGGACCTGCGGTGGGAAAGACATAAGGACAGGGAGTACTGTTCAGGGGGTAGAAGGTGCTGCTTTGCAGCCTCCAGGCTTTGCCTAGAGGTGGTCCTGACCTCGAAGCCTATAGAAAGAGGCCCTCGTTCCAGTTTGGTGATACTCCTGTCATCTGTCATCTGTGTTCCTTTTGGCTGGCTGCAAAGATCTGTGTAGGGCTGCCTGGGAGGTGCTTCCCAGCTAACTCTGCTGCCTGTTTATTTTTAGGTATCTTGCAATATATTCAGAACTCTCCCTCCTAGTGACAGCAATGAATTTGATCCAGAAGAAGATGAACCCACGCTTGAGGCATCGTGGCCACACTTACAGGTACTTTGAACTACCATTTGTTATAAAAGAAAGATTCATTAACTTATTAGCTGATTAGCATGGGCATTTCTTGAGGGCCGTTAGTCACTTAAATCAAATTAGGGAACATAATTGGGAAGCCAGAGAATGTCTTTTATCTTTCTTATTTTTGATAATTAGGATGCAAAAGAATAAAATAATAAGTTTCAGTACAATGCTTTAGTGTGGGCCCTCCCACGTTGCAAGTCCAACAGGCAGTTCTTGCTCTTTTATTAGAGTTTCTGTGTGAACTGCCTGCTGGAAGCTCAAGCAAGAACAGAACTGTTTTCACATTAATATTAGTTAGATGTGATTAGGTCACAGAGTACACATCTCATTTTCAGCAGTGGGTAGCCTGGGGACTTGTATGCCTGTCTTCCTGATAACCACAAATGTGTTTTTTTAGCCTGCAAGGGCAAAAGCAAATTGCAGTAGCTATTTCAAAGTGTTGGAAGGAGGAGCAATAGCTGAGGTAACGCTTGTGTGATGGCCAGTTTTCCAATCACACTCATATATCAGGACAGATCAGGGCCATCCCTGCATCTCCTTTCCAAGTACTAGGCCCATCTGTGTTGTATTTACTTATTCATACTGGTCATTTCCCATCCTCCTTTCCTGGCTGCCTTCTGTAGAACAACATTTCTCAAAAGAATAGAACAAGGAAATTTAATGTAAGGAACCCCAAAGTCATCTTCACTTAGTCAGACTGCCCTCAGAGGTTGGGTCCTCTGAGGCTTGTCCTCAGAGAACTAGCAAGGAGGGAAAGGATGGAAGAGGAAGGATATTATCTTGTACATCTTTACCTCACTGCATCTTTGTGGCTGTGCTCGTGGTTACTGGTTGACTTTCTGAAATGCAGACTCTATTTATCCTATCTAATAATAGAGAAACATGGTAATTAGCGTACATCTGCTACCCTTTTCATTGGCTAATCAGGGCAATATGCAAATTAACTGCCTGCCAAGATGGCGGCTAATTTGCATACTGCAGGCAGGGCGGGACAGTGCCAACACCAACTCGGAGGGGGGCTGGTGGGTAGGACCGTGGTGATCAGCACCCGCCCGGCCTCATCCTGGCCTCCCGCGGTGGACATGGGGCTGGTGGGTGGAACCACGGTGATAGGGCACCCGCCCCACACTCATCCGGGCCTCCCGCGGTGGACTTGGGGCTGGCGGGTGGAACCACGGTGATAGGGCACCCGCCCCACACTCATCCGGGCCTCCCGCGGTGGACTTGGGGCTGGCGGGTGGAACCACGGTGATAGGGCACCCGCCCCACACTCATCCGGGCCTCCCGCGGTGGACTTGGGGCTGGCGGGTGGAACCACGGTGATAGGGCACCCGCCCCACACTCATCCGGGCCTCCCGCGGTGGACTTGGGGCTGGCGGGTGGAACCACGGTGATAGGGCACCCGCCCCACACTCATCCGGGCCTCCCGCGGTGGACTTGGGGCTGGCGGGTGGAACCACGGTGATAGGGCACCCGCCCCACACTCATCCGGGCCTCCCGCGGTGGACTTGGGGCTGGCGGGTGGAACCACGGTGATAGGGCACCCGCCCCACACTCATCCGGGCCTCCCGCGGTGGACTTGGGGCTGGCGGGTGGAACCACGGTGATAGGGCACCCGCCCCACACTCATCCGGGCCTCCTGCGGGGCTGGCGGGTGGAACCACAGTGATCCGGCACCCACCCCACACTCATCCGGGCCTCTCTCAGTGGACATGGGGCTGGCGGTGGAACCACGGTGATCGGGTACCCGCCCTGGTATCCCCTGAGTAAAGGGACATGGGGCGGCAGCAGTGATCAGCTGGCCAGCACATCCTATGTGTCACCCAACCCGGGGTCGGTAGGTCGCAGGCAGCCTCAGTGCCTCAAGCCCCAGCAGCAGTAGTAGCAGCAGCAGGGGCAGTGGCAGTAGTGGTGGTGGCAGTGCCCTCGACCTGTCCGCCCAGGTGTGAGTGGTGCCCAGGGG